TACCTTCTTTAACAAGATTAACTTTTATGTGACTAGGTTGTGTCCCTTGAGGTCCAATGCTCAAGAGATTAGTTGACCGCCTAAATTGATTTTCTAGGTTTCTCATGACTGTAGTCTCGCTTTATAATTGGTTCCCCATGTTGACTACCAAATCTTCCAAAGACAATTTATCCTTCATAATTTAAGAGTTAGAAGAAAGTCCAAATGGGTAAGTTATTCTAAAATTTTCACTACTCCATTTGTTCCAATTTCTTACAAGATTGGCTTGGGTGCTCTCCCATTGCTAATTTCCTACACTTGGGTTATTATTATTCCGATTGAAGCCTAGGTTGTAGGTTTTGAAATAGGGGTGATCAAACTAAGTTCTTATGACATATAAGGAAGAGGTGCTAGAATCACCTACTAGTCTATAAGCTATCTCAACACTAGGTAGGGATCCTTGCACAAAATTCATTCTTAATCTGTCTACTTTTCTCAAAATTTCATCAATTTGTGAGGCTAAGATAGTCAACACATCAGTCTTATGCTCACTAACTCCCTTATTAAGGGTTACTCTCTTGGGTGGTCATTCAAATTTATTTGTTCTTATTTCCTCAATCATTGTGTAGACTTCCTCGCAAGGTTCTAACATAAGGGACCCCCTTAGTCGTGACATTTATAATAATCTCAAAGAACCCACTAGTTCATTGTAGAAGGTTTGGATAATCAACCAGTCAGGTCGGACATTATTTGGACGCTCCCTAATCTGCTTTTTGAACCTCTCCCAAGCTTCATAAATTTTCTCTCCATCTAATTTGTTGAAGGACATGGTGTCTTTCCCACATTTGAAAGTCTTGAATGATAGAAAGTGTGGGAACTTGAATTTTTGGTTTATGTTACTCCAGGTAGTGATCGAATCCTGGTGCTAAGGAGTATAACTGCCTCTTGGCTTTATCCTCAAGTGAGAAAGGGAATAGTCTTAATGTAATGACATTATCAGAGACGCCGCTAAATTTGAAGGTGGCACATATTCTTAAGGAAATAGTCAAATGGAGGTATGATTTTTTTTTTTTGATGATCCCCAAACTGATTGATTTGAATTCTTAGGATAATGTTGGGTTTAAGTTCAAATGTAGAGGCTTCTATAGCAGGGTAATTAAAACTCATATGAATTCCTACTATCGAGGGGCTGACACTCCTTAAGGGATTTAAAACTGTTTCATGTGTGTTTGCCATTTCTAAGTGTTGGAATATTTTCATTTATTTTATTTGTTATATATGTATATATATATATATATTGAATCTTAAAAACAAAGCAAGAAACATAAAGCAAAAAATAAAAATAGAAAATAAAGAGAAATTTTTTTAACATAGACTCTAATCAGTTCAACTAAAATTTTCATAACATCGGAAAATTATGATCTTTCTCGGTAACGGTGCTAAAAATTTGATGCCCGAAATTCTGTGAGATAAATTGAACAAACAAACGAGTATACGTATCGATCAAATAATATAAGGATTTTGAGTCTGAATATCAATGTCATTAGGGAAATTGTCAAACTATTCCAACAAGTGAAATTCTAATTTATTAAACTCTTAATATTTTTGAAGTTCTAGTTTACAAATATGAAATGTTTTAAAATCCTAATGCTGAAAGAACAAAGCAAAAGTAGGTTTTCTCAAGCTTTTTAGGGTTAAAGGTCATACTTCTATGACATCGGTCTAGTGGTTTCTTGATGTTTTTTTTATGAAACCCACACAATTATTGACAACTAGAGACATTTCTTCCTTAGCCTATGTCTAGATCGTAAGAAGAGTTGAAATAGGAAATTAACTATATTGCATTCAAGGAGACTTAACTATGCATTATTTTTCCAAGGAATCTTCAAGTCCCCCATATTGTTTGTAATTTTTTAAAAGTAATATGTCTATTTCACCAGATTATTGTTTGTTAACCTACTTGTTCTTTTAGGTGTTGATTAGAAGTTCTAGTTCAGAAAAGGTTTTAACATTTTATCATGTCAAATTTGAAGTAAATTAAGATAAAAAAGTTAA